TATGATACAAACACTTTTGGAAGGAAAATGAAAAATTTCCCCTTGGTACACCACCTTTATAATACCAACAAAAAAACTTTTTAAAATGAAAAATTCCATTAACATGATCATTCTAATTGGTAATTTAAAAATGTTTTGAACTGAGATCCAGCACAACTATGTTTATTGCAGCATTATTTACCATAGCTAAGATAGGGAACCAACCCAGATGCCCCTCAGTAGATGAATGGATCAAGGAAATGAGGTAAATATACACAATGGATTCTATGCCTCCATCAGAAAGAATGACATTGCCCCATTTGATAGGAAATGCAAAGACTTGGAAAAAATTATATGAAGTGAAGTAAGCCAGGCCCAAAGAAACATAGATCCCATGGCTTCCCTTATTTGCAATAACTAGTATATGTCTGAGTTAAGCAGAAAAGGTCAGATAAGTCGATGTTAGGGAAATGAACCCCAAGATAAGCATTCAGATGTTTTTTTCTTTCATGCGATTGTTTCTAACATATTTATAAGATGACTTCTTTGTTGCTTTGTATGTCCCTCCCCCAGCTGTTTTCACTGTATTTGATGTTGGTATAATTTGTGGAGGGGAAGGGAAAAAACAAAGTGTTTAAATAGGGATACAGGTGGACCCATTGCAACAAGGAGATGTACAAGTCGTTATGTCAAAAAATGAACTTTACAACTTTGGTGGGGGGGGAGGATTAGGTAGGAGGGGGTAGGGGGTGGGAAGGGATGGGAAGGGGACACAAAGGAGGAGGCAACAATGCTTGATAAGAAATGTACTCATTATCTTGCTCATGTAATTGTAACCCCACTGTACGGTATTTTCATGATAAAAAAAAAAGAAAATGTGGTATATATACACAATGGAATTCTATGCCTCCATCAGAAAGAATGACATTGCCCCATTTGTTAGGAAATGGAAAGACTTGGAAAAAATTATATTAAGTGAAGTAAGCCAGGCCCAAAGAAACATAGGTCCCATGGTTTCCCTTATTTGCAATAACTAGTATATGTCTGAGACAAACAGAAAAGGTCAGATAAGCTGATGTTAGGTGAAATGAACCTCAAGATAAGTATTCAAATATTTTGCTTTCATGCGATTGTTTCTAACATATTATAAGATGATTTCTTTGTTGCTTATATGTATACCCCTCCCCCACAGTATAACCCCTGCTTTCACTGTATTTGATGTTGGTATAATTTGTGAAGGGAAAGGGAAAAAACAAATCGTTTAAGTAGGGATATAGGTGGACCCATTGCAACAATGAAATGTACAAGACGTTATGTTGAAAAATGAACTTTACAACTTAGGCGGGGGTAGGAGGGGACCTTAGTGGGGGAGAGATGGGAAGGGATCGGAAGGGGAAACAAAGGAGGAGGCAACAATGCTTGATAAGAAATGTACTTATTAGGGATGGGAAGGTGGCTCAGTGGTAGAGTGCTTGCCTTGCATGCCAGAGGCCCTGGGTTCGATTCCTCAGCACCACATAAGCAAAAAGAAAAAAGCTGGAAGTGGCGCTGTGGCTGAAGTGGTAGAGTGCTAGCTTTGAGCTGAAGAGCTGAGGGACAGGGCCTAGGCCCAGAGTTCAGGCCCTATGACTGGACCCCCCGCCCTTCTCCCCCCAAAAAAGAAATGTACTCATCTTGCCCATGTAATTGTAACCCCACTGTATGGTATTTTCACACACACACACAAAGTTAAAAAAAATGTTTTGAACTTAGGAAAATAAAAGATGCCCACTTCCCTTCAACAAAGATCTCAAAAGTATTGTTTTTTGACAATGAGTGCAAAAAACCAAAAGTAAAAAGAAATTAGAGCTAGCTAAATATTAAATGTGTATTTGAAATCTGAAGTCAATAATTATAATATGTATTCCAGTTAAATATGTCAATGATGAATCATAAGCTGTATTTACAGTGCTGTGCCCATTGGAGTGCTTTCAATTCAAGAAATGCGAGATTAAATTCTGAATTTGTCAGCATCAAGAAAATGACAGAAAGACACAATGGTGAAAAACACATGCTTGTATAATTAACATATAAAGACTTCTTCCATCATGATGAAAGAATGACACTGCCCCATTTGTTAGGAAATGGAAAGACTTGGAAAAAATCATATTAAGTTAAGTGAGCCAGACCCAGAGAATCATGGGTCCATGGTTTCCCTTGTTTGCAATAATTAGTATACATCTAGAATAATCTTAGCAGATGAGCAGAATAGCTCAATAGCTATCTTATATTACCATATAAGATGATGCTAAGTGAAATGTACTCTAAGATATGGACACAAGAGGTTTTTCTTTGTTGTTGTTGTTTTTAATGTAGTATGTGATTTTTTTGTTTTTTATATTCTTCCCTCATGGTATATCCCCTGATGTCACTGCATTTGATTTTGGTACCCTGGAATTGTATGTACATTTATTTGAATTAGGGAAGAGAAGGGGAACAACAGAATGTTAAGACAAAGAACAAGGGGGAACCAATGCAACAGCGACATACACAAGACAGTATGTTGGAAATGATCTGTATAACTTGGGGGGGGGATTGGGAGGAGGGAAAATGGGAGAAAAATGAGGGAAGGGGTAACAAGTTTGATAAGAAATGTACTTATTACCTTGCTTATATAACTGTAACCCCTTGGTATATCATCTTGACACTAAAAAAAAAAATGCTCTCTGAAAAAAAAAAAAGAATTCTTTTACCCCTTTCAGAGCAAAAGGGTTTATATAGGCATTTCTCCAAATAATATATACAAGTGGCCTACAGGCACATGAAAGGATGTTCAGCGTCATTAGCTAGTGATTAAAGAAATGCAAATCAAAAACATAATAAGGTATAACATTATTTCTCCTGAAATGGCTGTAATAAAAGACAACAGTAACTATTGACAAAGATATGGACAAACTGTTATCTTTACACCCTGCTAATGGGACTGTAAAATGATGCAGCCTCTCTACAAAATAGTTTAGCAATTCTTCACATAATTAAAACTGGAGTTGTAATGACACAAAGTTCACTTCTTAGATACTTGCCCAGAAAGATAAAAACATATCCACACAAAAAATTCTACTCCATTGCTTGGAGCAATATTATTTATCATAGCCAAAAAGTAGAAAAAAATAAAGGGTATATTATCTAATAAATAGGCTAGACAAGATATGATAGATTCATGTAACAAATTTTTTTGGATGATATTATTGATACATGCTGTAATATGAAGAATATTTAAAAACATTATGCTAAATAAAATAAGCCAGTCACAAAATATAGTATTTTATGAAATTTGAAATATTCACAATATCCAGAATACATGAATTTGTATAGATCAGAAAGTAGATTAACTGTTGTCTAAGGTAGGTGACAATCACTAAACAGAGGGTAGGGAGTGGCTCCTGATAAGACAATGTTTCTTCCTGGGGTGGTAAATATATTCCAAAATTATGATAATGATGTTTGAACAACTACATATTAAAACTTACTGAATTATACATGTCAATTTTTTATAGTATGCAAATTATCTCTCCATAAAGTTCTAAAATCAGATCTGCTACCATTCTTAGGAAAATTCTAGTAAAGTTGATTTTTGCCATCACTTTATCTTTACATTTGCACATCATTCATAAGATGGATTAAACATAGTAAAAACAGGGACTGGCAGTGGTAGCTCATGTCTGTGATACTAGCTATTCAGGAGCCTGAGATCTGAGAATCACAATTTGAAGCCAGACTCAGGAAAGAAAGTTTGTAAGTCTCTGCTACATGCTCACTTACATCTGTGTGAATGAAGGCTTTAATTTTTAAAAATTATATGTTAACAGGAATAGGAATTTTCTAAGACATGCCCAGTATCGCCTTACCACAGCCAGTTCTGAAAATGTCCTAGTCTAACAGTGCTAGATTTTCTATAAAGTCAACTTCTTGGAGCCACCAAACAACATCTTCCTGTCTCAAAGATGAACGTAAAAATAGCCTAGGGGCACATAAAAAAATAGTTTTTTTAATGCAGCCCCTGCTAACCTGGAAGATTTCATTCTCTCATTTCTGATTTCAAAATGCTAGAATTAATATGTATTTTTACGACATTAAAAAAAAGCCTGGAAAGAAGTTAAAAACAAGATGAAAGGTACTGGGATTACAGGTTGTATATTATCATGCCCAGTGACCTTTTTATCCTGTAAGTAAAATATGTACACAAAATAATCTATTCTAAGATATTTCCTTTGAGTTTTTTGATCTGTGCACATTGAACACAATGGGAAGCATTTTTCTCTCAGGCTATTTTCTGAAGACATTTGCTTTTTGCTCACACAATGTTTGTATGAACAAAAAAAGATGTACTAAGGAAATTTAGTATTCACTAGGTCAGCATTAAGAAGGTACTTACAGAATCTAACACAACACAAGATTTGGACAAGACTTTAAAGGTTTCTGGTCCAATTCTGTGTCTTTAAAAAGCAAATTGGACCCAAAAGAATGTAAGACTTTCCAAATGTCTGAAGAAGAAAGAATTGAGAATTCATTTGATTGTACTTAGAGACTTGCTAATGGAACTAAGGGTAAATTGAAATCAATTAGCATTTCTTTTCAGCTATTTCAAGTGCTTTTTCTTTTTCTTCTATTTTTAAAAATTTTCTTAAAGAGATTAAGTCAGTACTTGGTTGACTTGAGAACTATGTACTCCCTTTATTCCTATACAGATGATTATCTACCTTTAAATGTTGATTGTATGGTTAAGATTTAGGCAAGAATAGATTTTTATTAAAAACCAACTTTATATTTTCTATTAGATATTTACTAAAACTAATGTGCACTCCTTTGGTAAGAAATTTGGATATTTTAAACTGTCAGTCTAAAAAACTTATGTAAAACCAAATGGACTAATGAGAAAGACTAGTTTCAATTTTTAGTTTTGTGCATTGAGAGAGGAGGCACTATTTCTCTTTCCCCAAATCACAATCAGCACAAGCAAGTAAGAAAATAAAGTTCTTTACCCTGCCATCACTTCAAGATGAAGTTGTCCCGAGACAGTTAAGAAAGCAGGAACATCGAAGAACTTCCCCTTGGGTACATTTATTTTGCTTAAAGGCTGAAAAAAGAGACAAAAGCCACAAAAAGCTATTATTTATTTTCCTTTGGTTTAACACAAATCACTTTTAATATAAAATACAAGTAAATCACTACAAAAATTTATAGGCAGAGTAGGGCAGAGAAGCACATGCCTGTAATGTCAGCACTTGGAAGCTGAGGCAGAAGACTATTGAATGCAAGGCCAGTCTAGGGGTACAGAGAGATATCCCGTCTCAAAAAACAGAACAAGAGTCGGGAGCAAGATAGCTTGAGCCTGTGGGTGTGCCACAGTGGAGCAATGCCTAAATCAAAGGAACCTGTTTCTTTAAGCTCTTCTGGCAGTGATTCTGACAGTGAAGTTGACAAAAAGTTACAGAGTAAAAAGCAAGTTACTACAGAAAAGCAAAGGACAGGCAAGACTTGGAGAGCTCTGGCATCTTCTAAGCAGAGCAGCAGCAGCAGAGATGACAACATGCTTCACATTGGGAAAATGAGATACGCAAGTGTTTGGGACTTTAAAAGGAAAGTTCTAATTGATATTAGAGAATATTGGATGGATCCAGAAAGTGTAATGAAGCCAGGAAGAAAGGTATTTCTTTAAATCTGGAGCAATGGAGCCAGCTGAAGGAACAGATTTCTGACATTGATGATGTAGTAAGAAAACTGTAAAATCTGAGCCATATAAAACCTCTACTGTTCTATTTGTTTTAATCTATCTTTTTACACTGGCTTTTGTTTTCTAAAATGTTTTCCAAGCTATTGTATATTTGGATTGCAGAACTATTTGTAAGATGAATACTTTTTTTTATTAATGTGCATTATTAAAAATGTTTTGAAAGAAGCTCATTCTCAACTTTATTAAGGAGGATTGCTTTCTGTCTCCCATCTAGTGTAAAATAAAATTAAGTAATTACAAAAAAAAAAACAGAACAAAACACTACAGTGCAATTAAAAGAATGAATGTTCCTTTGTGAAAATGAGGCACATACCTAAAGAGAATGATTACATATGTAGTACTAATGCCAAGGAAATTTGCCCTGTATTTTCAATGCAGGTACAACTAAAGAATATACTGCTTTTTTTTTTTTTTAACACATTTCTTGGTAAAAGATAATTCTGAGTAAGGGACAAATCAAAGAAAGAGATAATGAATTAAAAACTTTAAATATGCAACATTTCATAATCTCTTCAAATTTCGATCCACAATTAAAACTTAATTTTCTCAAGGGACCTGTCTATAAAATGTCTTATTACTAAAATACTAGTATTAATACTGATTTGATAATCAACATAAACTATTATAATCCACAGGTTTCAACCACTCAGAGTGAAAATACTTTTAAAAGAGAAAAACTTGTCTATACTAAATACATACCTTTTTCTTCCTGTCATCCCTAAATAATATAGTGAACCCTCTACAGACCTCTGCTGAAAGATGATTTAAAGCATACAGAAAGATGTGCATGGGTTATAGACAAATACTGCATTTTTATAAGGGACTGGAACATTTGTAGATTTTGGTATCCTTGAAGATCTTAGAATAAATATGTCAGAAATACATCAGGACACTTATATTTAAAATTCTTGGCAACAAACAGAGGTGGAGTAGGATCCCTATTGTGTGTGGGGGGGAGGGAGGGAGAGAGAATTCCAAGTTATGCATTCTCACTCTGGTTTTTCACTCATGTAGGTACTCCTCTATATTGTGATTTGAAAGCAGCTCATGAAGAAAAGTCTAACAGATTCTGCCTCCAAAATAACCAGCAAAAAGCAGAACTGGAGGTGTGTCTCAAGTGTAGAGTGCCAGTTGAATAGGAGGAGTTTAATTCAAGCCACAGTACCAGCATACACAGACATAGACACAGACAGACAAACACACAAATGTTACATTAACTGTGAACTTAATTTGACAATATTAAAGTGGCATTATAAAGTATGTGTTATGAAAAATAATCAAAGAGAGTAATGTTGGCAAAACATGTGGGGGAGGTATCTCCAAAGACTTACTTCTAAACAGATGATCCAAAAACAGAGTAAAGACTGTGAGGACTTTGTAAAACAGTCTAGGTGATAGCAACCAGAAAATTGCTGAGTCGACAAAGAGCAACTTGTCAGGCATGAGTAGCTCACACCTGTAATCCTAGCTACTCAGGAGGCTGACATCTGAGGATTGTGGTTCAAAGCCAGCCCAGGCAAGAAAGTCCTTGACTCATCTCCAATAAACCACCAGAAAACCAGAAGTGGCACTGTGGCTAAGTGGTAGAGTGCTTGCCTTGAGCTGAAGAGCTCAGGGAGAGAACCCAGGCCCAGAGTTCAAGCCCCAGGATGGACCAAAAAAAAAAAAAAAAGTAGCATTCAGGGAAGAAGTAGGTTGGGAGGGATGGGTGAGAATGTTGAAAGGGGTGACACTGATGAAGATACATTGTATTCATAAAAGGCTTCTTTAATTGACAACTCCTTTGTACAATTACTTACAGATTTTTTAAAAGGTGCTAGCCTTGAGTGAAAAAGCTCAGGCTGGTGCCCAGGCCCTGGGTTCAAGCCCCAGGGATGACAAAAAATAAAAAGTATTTTAGAAGTATATGAGGCTTCTCCTTAAGACAACAGTTCCTTCCAAGATGAATAAAGATTATGTTTTTACATTTTTTTGAAGATTGACAATGTTTTTTTAAAAATCTTTTCATTATATAACATGTATAAATGATATAAAAACTATATGTAAAGTTTTTTACATAACAATCTTTTAATTACAAAATACTCTGTGATTTTTATAAAAAATAACAGCAATATGAGATCTGTACTTAAAAAATTAGAATTTACCTAACAACAGCAGAGTGCACATCTTTTCATGTGCACTCCAAAACTTTTAGCCTGACTCACAACTGTAATCTTAGGTATTCAGGAAGCTAAGATTCAGAGGATTGTAATAAGACAGCTCATACATAGAAGTTTGTGAGATTCCACCTCCGAAATAACCAGCAAACAAAGCAATGCTTGAGTTGTGACTCAAGCAATAAGAGTACTAGCCAAGTAAGCAAGCCATGTGAGTGAAAGGCTCTGAATTCAAGCCCCAGTACCCCCCACCCATTTTTTAAAAGACTAAAATCACACAAAATATCTTCTTTGACCATAATGGAATAAAACTAGAAATGCAAAATGGTATATTCCTCCAAGGGAAAATATTTGGTGATTTCCTTAAGAAGCTAAAATAGTATGATTATGATCCAGTAATTCTACAATAGTCAAAAGTAGAAACAGCTCAAATAATCATGAATGGAGACATGGATAAACAAAACTTGATACACAAAACAGAACATTATTCAGCAGTAAGAAAGTGTGTGTCTACATATTCTTTCACTATAAACTGTTTAAATATTTTATGTACTAAAACAGATAAAACTTAAGAACATTATGTAAAACAAAGGTCAGCATATGTAAAATGCCACACTGTATGACTCAATTGATATAAAATAGATAGAACTGACAAATCCACAGACAGAGATAGTGGGGAGGTGATATTTAATGGACAAAAGGTTTTTTTCTTCTGGAATAATCAAAGACAAAAATTTAAGAGAAATGATACTTATTGAATGGTCTGTTTATGTTATATGAATTTATCTCAATTCTTGAAAAGCATATATTATATTAGAAAGTATTTATTAACCAGGCATAGTGGACTATACCTATAGTCCCACCTACTCAGGAGACTGAGACAGGTGGGTTACTTGACAAGGCTCAGGAGTTCAGGACCAGCTTGGGCAATACAATGGGGCTCCGTGTTTCTTGTAATTATTAAATCTGATTAGTCTTAAAAATCTACTTGACGGGGCTGGGAAGGTGGCTCAGTGGTAGAGCGCTTGCCTTGCATGCTCAAGGCCCTGGGTTCGATTCCTCAGCACCACATAAGCAAAAAGAAAAAAGCAGGAAGTGGTGCTGTGGCTCAAGTGGTAGAGTGCTAGCCTTGAGCTGAAGAGCTGAGGGACAGCGCCCAGGCCCAGAGTTCAGGCCCCACGACCGGACCCCCCCCCAAAAAAAATCTACTTGACTAGGATTACAAATTTAAATTTTAGGACTGGAATTTTATTTTATTTTTTTGTTTTTAGGGTTTTTTTTGGGTCCAGTTGTGGGGCCTAAACTCTGGGCCTGGGTGCTGTCCCTCAGCTCTTCAGTTCAAGGCTAGCGCTCTACCACTTGAGTCACAGCACCACTTCCGGCTTTTTTCTTTTTGCTTATGTGGTGCTGAGGAATCGAACCCAGGGCCTCAGGCATGCAAGGCAAGCGCTCTACCACTGAGCCACCTTCCCAGCAGGACTGGAATTTTAAATCTCTCTCTTATCTGCTGTGCCCCTGGGACTCTTCAAAAAGTTTCTGCCTAGCCCTTTACTTCTCTGAAGCTGTTTATATTGAGTATTTTGTAAGCAATGCAAAACTGATTTGATACCAACCCACATAAACAAAAGCTCTTTGGGGTTCTTTATGACTTTTCAGTATAAAGGGATTTTGGGAACTGCTAGGCCATTAGCGTGTCTCTCCCACTAGAAGAGAAGAGAAAATATATCTAACCAAGATCCTAAATAAAGACTTAATAAACAGGTGTCCAAGTAAAAGAAATTACAGACAAAAATCTCATAATCTTCCAAATTTGAAAATCTTTAAATCAAGCCTCAAATCTCCAGAATAATCTTTACAAAACTGCAATTCTGATTTTTCTGAAAACAGCATTAAAAATCTTTTAGTGCCCCTCTAGAATATATCTGGAACTAGCACGGAAGGAACTTTTTTTTTTCTTCTGGTTTTCATCTTTCTAAGTCCTGCTTCCTCTGCTCCCATTCTGCATTTCAGTCATGTTTATGTACTGAGTCCCAGTAGAAGATTTTATCCAAAAGTACAAGACTTTTTTGGGGGGGGAGGAAAGCAACATTTGAAACCAATTCAGTGAAGTCTCTCTCATCCTAATCTATGACTCAGTCATTCGTTCTCCATCTTATAAAATGTATCACAGCTACACAATGTAACTCA